AAGTACGCGATCAGGCTAAAAATTTCTTGGCATTTGGTTGAGATGAAGTGAAGTTAAGGCGATTCAAATAAAAGTATTCAAGTGAGCTTCGATGAATGAAATTTGTTCGGAAAAAAAGCCAAAAGTACGCTTTTGGTAGAAGTAAGACGCGAAGTCAACGCTGCTTTGTTTCTATGATTCCAATGATCTTATTCGCAAAGAGTTTGCGCTGATGGAAAGCTAGTTTTGACCCATACTATTACCCTGAACCGATCGTAAAAAAATATTGGTGCGACTCATAAAAAGCAAAGCATCGCGGTCTACAAATCTTCAATCTTCTATCTCATAAGCAACTTTAGAGCTTCATATATTCTAATTTATCTACAACTTACCGCTTGCAAAGTGCTGGTCATCAAATCCTTCAATTCATCCAAACATTTATTGATGCGCGCGCGTCGCTTGCGTTCCAACATCGGTTTCATAATCTTGCGGTACTGGTAGGTGCGCGACACGGGCTCCAGCGGCAGGCCATGCATCATGAAGTGATGGGGATGATGATTTGGCGCCATTTTTGTGTGATAACTCATGCAGGCATTTATTTTCAAGCACACGATATGCGGAAAAAATTAATTACTTAACTACACTAACAGTTCACAAAAATATTTGCGCTTTGAATTTTAACACTTTGACTTGCAAAAGTCTATGGTTTATCAAAAATTTTCAAGAACAACTTAGAAAATTTTCGAAACTTAACTTCTTAACTTGCTTTTATAACTTTTCACCGTTCTTGCCACGAACTTAACCGGCGCGCTTTGCCAACAAAAATGATCGTGAGCGCGCGATAAGTTGACTTTTTATTGGAGCACTCGCACCGTATACACTCTCGCAATCAATTGTTCTCGCGTGCGCACTCATTTCCCATTCGCTGGCGAAATGCGCTGTGGGTCCGGCTGTCGAGTGCGACAACCAATCGTCGCGTGCTCCACTTGGGCTCGGTTGGGATGCACCACACCGCGCCAAACAACTCGTGCACGCTATCAACACGATCGTGTGGAGCTGCTGATCAACATCGATCATCGCTGTGAAATCTGCATTTAGTTAGTGGCAGAGAAGACGGTAGCTAGTGCAATTGGAGCGCTTGCTCACCCACTGTGTTCGCTCATTTCTGGTTCTCTCACTCTCTGGCTGACCAATAAATACTTAACCAGTTTTACCCGCAACATCTCCGCAATCTTTGCAACGATTAGCCAAGCGCGTAGAGATGAGCTGAGCCGCACAAGGCAGATACAATTTCATGAATGAAATTCCATTGCTCCACAATAGTAAGTTTATTTGCACATCAGATGAATGAACCGCAAACACACACGCACACACAAACACACGCTAAATGGCAACAGGCAAGGCATAGCCGTAGCGTGGCCAAGTCGCACGTTTTTATTAGTGGCGTCAAAGTGACGAAGTGTCTGCCTCTGTGCTACCAGTTAGTTAGTTAGTGCGCGAGTGTGGCAAGCGGCTCTCGTGGGATTTAGTTGACTCAGCATTGCGTTGCATGCTTCCATGTGAATCTTGAGCTGTATATGTTTACATAGTTATTTATTTGTGGGCTCGCTTGTTTGCGGCATTCGAATACACATATTTGTTGTTTTTGTTTTCTAACTGACGTTAGTTGTTTATGTTTCGATTTAATTCCCTTCTGCGCCACGCTCCTTTTTCTCTCGAACCTCATTCTGACGCGCTACTGTAGCTTTTTATTATTGTGTTCTGTGAAAGCCAAGCACAAAAGCGTCGTATATGTATGAAGAATTGCAATAACAGCTAATAAAAATGCTGAATTGCGTATGCGAGTGGTGGCAGCAAGTAGGCTGGCACGGGCAATGAATGCGCTAATCTCGTTATGAATGCTACTTAGTTCTTTTTGTTTACACAAAAAAGTGTATACTACTCAACAGTAGCACAGAGATTGTGGTGATACAGTGGTTTGTTTTGAATATCTTCAGAAAAATTTTGTTTGACTAAAAATCGATTTCTTAAGATTTCTTGAACAACTAGACAACCTTACAAGCTCACAGTGGTGCCAAACTGGAATTTACTGTTCAGTAAAGTAGTACAGAGTCTTAGTTTTTTAACTGGTTTGGTATTTTTTTTTAAGGATGGTTCCGTGCGCAGAAGTAGAAAGCTTTTGACTGCCCTTCACCTGGGATAGGCCAGAGGTGATTCATGTGCGTACGGTTCAAATCACAGCTCACAACCTCCGGATATTTATATCCACGTATCCTCTGGGTGTATCCGCCCAATGAAAAGTTAGAAAAATGCTTGGATGAGATGACGACCATGGCAAACGTATAAAGGATTATGATTTGAGGGTATGCCCTTGGAATATCCAGACCCTTAATGGGAAAGGTTCCTCTGCCGCGGCTGGTTGTTGTGCTCGGGAAGACTAAAGCTGAAATCACCGCCATCCAAGAAATGCGATGTACGGTGCAAGGCAAGGCAAGCGTGAAGCCTTGCGACGTCTACTATAGTTGCCACGTAAAGGAGCTTAAATTCGGTGTTGGATTTGTGGTGGGAGAGAGACTCCATCGGCGAGTACTGGCGTTCACCCCGGTGGACGAACGTCTAACCACAATCCTCATCAAAGCGAGATTCTTCAATATCTCGCTCATCTGCGTCCATGCCACGACGGAGTAGAAGGACGGGGCGTCCAATGATCTCTTGTATGAGCGCGTGGAAAGAACATATGAGCGCTGCCCTCGACACGATAAAAAAAATTGTTCTTGGCGATTTCAATTGCAAGGTGGGTAAGGAATGGATTTTTGGCGCCACTGTCGAAATGGGAATACGTGGTACTAGGCTGTCCGCAGATCGAAAAACGAGAAACCATATCGTTATAGCGTTTTAGACGTACGCACACTCCGACGCCCAAACATCGACGCGGACCACTATCTTGTTGCAGCCGAGATACGCACCCGCCTCTGTACAGCAAAAAATGTATGCCCAAATATGCAAGGAAAGCTTAACGTCGAAAAGTTGCAATAACAACTATGGAGAGAACACTTTCCCACTTTATTGAATGGCAGCAGCACTGAAAGTAGTGAATAAGACGAAACGGAGCGCCAAGTCGATGCAGTCGATGTCCCACCGAATGACTATGACAAGGCACGAATAGCAATAACGCTTCTAAAAACAACAAAGCTGCTGGAGCTGAGATCCTGCCAGCGCAACTATCTAAGTAAGGCGGCAAGGAGCTGATAAGGTGCATGCATCAACTCTTATGCAGAATATGATCACATGAACGCATGCCCGACGACTGGAATTTAAGGGACGCTCTGTCCAATCAACAAGAAAAGCAATCCCATGCCCATACCGCGGTTTTGGCAATTTTCTCATTGCCGACGTGCACTGAGGAAGATTAAATGAGGTATTACCCTCCCATGCACTTAAATTGGAACAATGCTTTCTCACTTTTTTTCTTGGTTATTTTCCTTTTATTCAATTTACATTGTTGCTCAATTAAAATTTTTCCTACTGACGCTGTCCTGTCTATTAAACTCATGCTAACATTTTTTTATATATACAAAAATGGGGGAAGAGCGTCTGTAAAAAATTTCAAGATTCAAAGGTAATTTGCACCTACTTCAATATTGCAGTTGCTAAAATTTTATACTGCGTTCTTAAAAATTCTGAGAAAGAAGTTTGAAATGTTCCCGAAACTTTTACACATTTTTCTTAATTTCCTACAAAGTTTAGATCTTGCGTTTATGCGGGGTTTGTTAGAGAATGTACTGTATTTTAATTGAAAAATAATGGAACTCAACTTAAAAAGAAAATAACCCAGACATGCAAGCGAAAAATCATTTTTAAGTCCTATTCAAGTGCATGTACCTACATGCGCCGGCTTGAACATGTCGGGTGTTTACCTCAGCAAGACTTATCGGGAAAAGGTCTGAAAATTATTTTCACTTGCTTCATTTCAAAATAGCTCCACTGCATCGTTTCTTACAATTTCTGATATTAAGGCTTACGAATGTATTTGTGCCGCGCATAAGTGTCAGTAAATACGTCAACGACTCCCGTGGGATAGTTGACACCCTGGGAGGCTGTTGTCACTGCCAATGCCAAGCTCATACAATAAAACTAACTTTAAGCTCATATTGCTGTTGTTGTTTTGAATGCCGCTACTGACGCGCTTTTTACTTTTTTATTTTTTTTTCTTCTTCGAATAGATTGCCGCACTTTGCTGAACAATAATAATAAAAAATATGAGCTATGTAAAAAACAAAGCAAAACAAAATAAAAGCAAAAGAATGCAAATTATAAAAAAAATACAAAAAACAGTAAACGGATATGACAACATTGCACAGGGGAAAAAGTATGTATGTACGTAATGATAAATCGGCGCACAAGACGCAAGACGTAAGGCAAAAAAATTTCGCTTTCAAAAGAATATGTACATATGTATATCTATTCCGAGGAGCGCATATTTATATTATTACTTTGGACAATTCAGAATATTCTTCAGGGAAATTTTTTCGAGTTTTTAAATAAGAAACGTTTTTTTAAGAAAAATGAAGGCTGCAATTTGTGTGCATATTTATATTGTTAGCCCTTAAAGGCAATAAAGTTTATAAATGTTATCGAAAGTTGACTCTTGCAACATTTCAACCTCACTGGGTGGCTGCAGCGATAAAACTCGCCAACATTTCATCACTCTTTTAACCCTTCGGCCTTTGGCGCTGCACAAAAATTGCACACAAAAGGCAGCGGCAGCGGCAGACAGACACTCAGAAGGTGCTAATTTAACAAATTGGCAAATTACGACCTTTTGACCTCATAAAGACGTTGTAATCTTACATGCAACACGATTGCCGCTTGACTGTTGCAACAAAAGCAACAGCAAAAGCAGCAAATAATAGCGCGCGCATTGCGCTCAACATACGGTAGCTTTGCGTGGCAGTTACGGTCGTCCCATTGAGGGCTGGAAATTCGTGTAACGGACGACAAGAAAACAAAAAAACAAAAACAGTAAAACTAAATGGGAAGCACAACCGAAGCAGAGTCTGCCTTTAACGCTTCAGCTTTATTTCCTATACATTTATATGCACATATTTTTTGCGTTTATTTTTTTTTTATTCTTTACATTATGGCAGCAATAGCGGCGGAGATTCCCACGATCTGAATTGAAGCTCACGGGCTCGCGCGCTCGAGCGCGCGCACACAACATCACAACTCCCATTGTTAATCGGCCTGCAACTTGCAGTTATTGCTGTTGTAATTTTTTTTGTTGTTGTCGTTGTTTTTGTTGCCTTGCAATGTGATCACATCTAGGCAGCAATTGGCATCCGCTGTTTGGAGTTTGGAAGTGCAGCACATTCACACTAGTTGTTGTTGTTATTACATTATTGCTTAAGCGACATCCCGCAAATGCTGACCCAACAGCAATTGGCTACTTCAGTGGCTGTGTGTGTGTGTGTGTGTGAATTGGGGGATAACAAAAACAACAATACAGTAGTAATCATTGGGAAACATTGCTTGCATACAATAATAATAATAACAGCACTTGGGGCGGGATGATTTAGCAACAACAAGAACAACAACAGCAGTTAAGGTAGCAGCATCATCGGTAGCTGTGGCAGTGGCAGCTGCTGAGGCGGTTAAAATTACGCGCCGCCAGCAATTTGCACTCACTCCTCTTTGTTTCACAAACAATAATGAAATGTAGGGGATAATTTTTTTGGCAGCAGAAAAGGAAATGTAAACAAAAATTTCAAATCAAAACTAAGAAATAAAAAAAAAAAACAATCCAAAGCCCTTTTAGCAAAGTAGCCAAAACCTTGGAATTAACTCAGCGTCAACTAGGTCCTAGTGCCCCCAAAATTAATAAAGTAATTTTAAAAATCACGTTTACGTTAATGCAGTTCTAAATCCCCTCATTTATGGGGTAAGCGCTAATATATTTATTTATATTTTGTTTTTTTTAAGGTTCATTAATTTTGAATTAAAGTTCGGTTCCTTATCTAACAAAAACCATATAAGTCCAAATTTCAAACTTTGTAGAAAAATTAAACTTAAAAAAAGCAAATGATAAGTAGTGAAATCTGGTAAATGTTGAATTCAGAAACTTAAATTTTCGAAAGATTTAAACCTAGAATGATAAACATTTTTTTATCCCTTTATTGGTAAACATCGTCTATGAGGCTACCTTTATAAAAAATTAATATTTCACTTTTATAAAAAAAAGTTATTCCAATAAAAGCAAAAACGTATTTTCTATATCGTTTGTAAAAAAGCAAATAAAAAACCATTCTTTTTTCGTACCCGAAATATGTAACAGTCATAATAGTGGATCTCATATTTTAATGGGTGATATACAGAGATCGTTGAAAAAAATTAAAAAAAAAATATTTCCGTTCGAGATATTTTTGCAAAATTTCTTCAGCTTATTGATTTAGATTAAATTAACACATTAAAAAAAAATATAAAGTTTATGGCTTAGAAAAAATTTTGCTATTAAAAATTACGCCTACGAGCCCTAACCGCCAAAATAACTTAAGCGACATTTTTTTTCAAAATTTTATTTTTGATGAATTTTCCTAGAGCGATATGTAGATGAATTTCCGCATCAAAAAGAAAATTTTTAAAAAATATATCGCTTACGCTATTTTGGCGGTTAGGGCTCGAAATGATACTAATTCTATGTCGAAGTTACAAGAGGCTAAGAATTCGCGTTGATATTTGATAAAATTCTTTAGCGATGACGTTATTATTTTCTTCCATACTTAACCAATTGTCGAGCATTGTTACTTTTTATGGAGGTGCAATAAGGCCAACGACAATAAGGCAAATTTTTGCTATTTCCAAATTGGAAAAGAAATGTAACAAGTTTCATTTATTTCATTTTTAAGTAATTGAGGAATAAGATCAACTTTTAAATTTTACAATTTAGTAATAAAGCAAAATAGTCTACAGAGTCACCCAGTTGTATTTAATGGCCATATTGGAAATTGACATTATGACCATATCAAGGGGCCTTATTTCCATTTGGAATGGTCACAATATCAACTGACGGCATTTTGTATGGACCTTTTGACTATTTTGAAAAAAATTATAATAAAATGCCACTACGTAGTTCAGTGCTGGAAAGTTACACAAATTTGTACCTCGTGTTGTACCTAATTTAATTATTAATTTATTTTTTAATATGTTATTTTAATTTGTTTCTTTGTTGAATGTACATATCATTTCATTATTTATAAACAGAGTGGCTTTCTATCCATTTCCAATTGGAATTAAGGAAAATATAGCCATTATGGTTTTATTGAGTATGGTGTTACTTAGCAAAATAAATACCTGCTTTGTTTCCAATCGCAAAGGGAAATATAGCCATTATGGTTTCATTGAGTATGGTGTTACTTAGCAAAACACCTTCTTGGACCGAATGTACGTTAAAATTTAAAAGTCTGAAGAGTAGGTACAATTCTGCCTACTTTAACAAACTTGCTTCCGCCGGTAAAGTAGCATAAATAACAATTGGGAATTAAGGCAACTCAGATTTTGGTATTATTTCTCATTTAAAAATGAAACACAGCTAATTTTGCTTTAGTTTCCTTTGCTTTATAGCATCCCCTAAATTCTCAAGGACACTTTTGAAAGACACTTGTCTTTGAAACAGGTTGAAAAGAGGTGTCCACGAATGCAGTTTAAATTGGTAAAATTTTAAAAATATTATATTCGTCAAATCACCGCGAATCCTTTATAGAAGCTCATTAAGTTCTTAATGGACGTAAAGTGCGATAAAATATTCCAAGACATTTAAATTACTCTAAACTCAGGTTCTCAATGATCCTTTCAGCTCTGCGATTTATTTAGTCAAATCAAAGCCGGATGCGCTCTTTATAACTCAACATGCTCGCACAAGTGTCCACATTTAGTATGAGCATACCAACATGTCAATAACACACAGTACTCGACTGGAGCAATAAATCAGTTCCACACTCCGACTTCACAATGAATTTTAAATGAAATGAACTCAGCGACAATGCATGTTATAATTGTAATTGCAAGTGGCACAGCGTAGGCATGAAGAAGAACGCGGAAAATGCACCAGACTCAAAACCAACGATTATGAGAACACAAAAACAACAAAACGACATGAATAACAAACATCAGTAATATAAAGACAAAAAAGCAGCTGTGGTGTGGTGTGGTGTGACGTGGTGAGCACCTGTTGCAACTATGTACCTACATACTTGGAATGCGCAACATATGCTTTCACAGACCACAGTGGGTATTCGAAAAAATGCAGCTCAGCAATTCTTTGCAGTTAATCTGCGGTACGTCAAGGTGACAGTAGAAATGACAGCACGGCAATTCCATGCATTGGTAGGTGAGTGCCTGGAGTTGTAGTTGGCATTTGATGGCGTTGGCATTGTTGGTATTTTTTTCTATGGTATTTTTTTGCAACAGACATATTTACTACTAATAAAAATGCAGGATAGTTACTCATCGACCAAAACTAAGCCGAGGACAACGAACACACCCTCTTTTTTCTGTGCACAATTTTCCATTCCTTTAGATTTTTATTTGCATTAGTACTATGGTATATGCACCTACAAGCCTCGAATACGAAATCATATTTGCGCTTCACATAAAAGTCTGCTTCGTTGATATAAAGTTTAAATCGCCAACCACCTCCTCCCTCCCTCTTTCGTTGTAGTTTACCATAACGCAGCAACGCACGTGGAGTATCGCAGCCATTATTGACCGATATGCCACTGAACCCTCTCTGTAGTAGTAGTATAGTCCGCCGGAAGCTTTTTTACGCCGGCGAGCAGTGAGAATAGTAAAAAAAAGGCTGAGTGAAAAATGATGTTACATGGCGGCACTCAATGTTACACCGTTGTTGTTATAGCCTGCAAAGGTGCAACACCCAGTTTTGTAAAAATACTATTTCCATATTTCCATTCATGTAGAGTCAATGCCCGACACAAACAAAAAAGCGAAAAAGTTGGCTACACTGTGGTTATGAAATGGGAATTAGAGCACCATTCAGACCGCGTAAAGTCTACTGAGGCGTAAAAAAATGTTTACAGGATTTTTTCATATTCATATGGATTTGAATGGGCGATCGTAGTGCAAATCGTAGAATTCGAATGTGTACGTTGCTTGTGGATGACTACAGTAACGATGAAATGAATTTTCTGTACATACCTACATACATACATACATGTAATATCAAATGCGTTATAACGGGTGATTTTTTTGAGGTTAGGATTTTCATGCATTAGTATTTGACAGATCACGTGGGATTTCAGACATGGTGTCAAAGAGAAAGATGCTCAGTATGCTTTGACATTTCATCATGAATAGACTTACTAACGAGCAACGCTTGCAAATCATTGAATTTTATTACCAAAATCAGTGTTCGGTTCGCTTTACGTCCGATTATGGTCATAATCGACCAAGTGAGCAAACAATTAATGCGATTGTGACCAAGTTTGTTTCGCACTCAGTTTACTTTATTGGACATTAAACCAACCACACGAATGCGTACAGTGCGTACAGAAGAGAATATTGCGTCTGTTTCTGAGAGTGTTGCTGAAGACCGTGAAATGTCGATTCGTCGCCGTTCGCAGCAATTGGGTTTGCGAAACACATTTCGAACCGAACACTGATTTTGGTAATAAAATTCAATGATTTGCAAGCGTTGCTCGTTAGTAAGTCTATTCATGATGAAATGTCAAAGCATACTGAGCATCTTTCTCTTTGACACCATGTCTGAAATCCCACGTGATCTGTCAAATACTAATGCATGAAAATCCTAACCTCAAAAAAATCACCCGTTATGAAGCTACCACTTGGAAGGCTTTCTTTGGAAAGTAGTATTGCTGTTGCTGAAAATGAATTTTCTTTAAAACAATGAAGGTGAATCAGTTTTCTAAAATCAGCGGAAATTTTTGGAACCACTTGAAACTTGCGCTTTATTATAATAGATTAGAATTGGCTACCAAACTGCATACCCCTATATAAATAGATA